ATGATAAATGTCGCCTTACGCTTTCGTCCAATAATAAAAAATGAGCAGTAAATGTTAGAATTACCTTAAATATTCTCTCCGGTAAAAATATTTTTTCATTCGGTGGACACTTAACGAAAGTGATGAAGGTGGGGATTTTGAGGGTATGTTTTTTCTTGATAATTTACTTGCGCTTGTTTTCCTTTGCTTCAACTTTTTCTATGCAATGCCTGTGTACGTTGCAAACCCGTTTAAGGGGGGAGAAATGAGTAGGAAAAAACGACACCATCAGAAAGTAGACCATGATTGTCATTAAAATGAGAACCAACCAATACTTGTGTCTAAAATACGACTTACATCCATTGTGTCAATACATAATTGTTTTGGGGAAAATAATTTCTCATTACAACCGTATGATGCGCATGTGTTGTTCAAGGGATTATATAGTGATGGAGCAACCAAAACCACCGAGGGAAATTACATGATGCTTTGCAATTCAGCTAATCTTATGGCCCATGAAAATACAGTCTGATAATCTTGTCGCGGCCGGGTTGTTCAAAGCTGAGTCAAGATAACACAGCGGTCAAACTTAGGGCATGCGCAGGGAGGGGGTTCAATTATGGGCGTGCGCTTCAATTTGCGGTGCAAAATTTTTAAAAGAAACATTAAAAACAACCGCTGTCTTGCAAAAAAGCGAAATATAAATTTAAACGCTCGTGGAAATCTTTAAAAGGAAACAAAACAAAAGAGTGGGAAAGGAAACTCGACACTTTCAAACACTAACCTTATTCAAGTATGGATATCCTGCTGATTTATCGTTCTATTTGGAGCTTTACCAAAAAGGGAATACGCCTCAAATATGTCAAAACACCGTGACTCACTGGCTTGAGGGTTGTTCGTACTTTTGTGACAACTTGGTTCTGACGGAAGGTCACCACCTGGTCTTTACAACGTTCGCACATGCGCAGACCTTTGACCTCTGTGTTGATTTAGACAACCTACGTCAGTGCGAAATCTGAATTCAGATGTGAAAGCTCCAAAAGAAAATTCAGCATACTTCTTTTTATCTACAAATTGATGATTAGGTGCTCTAAAAAGAACAGCGAAGATAATCTGAACAAAGGAATAACTGAGAAACCCGGATGAAAATCTTAACCCTGTGTTAAATAATAAAAAAATTTTAGTAGAAAATGATAGAAAAATTCATGCGGAAGAAGACGGTGCACAACTTGGTGATCAAATCAAATGTGTAACACCAGTTCTTAAGTTGCCCGTTGCGAGAGTACTCTGCTTCATGTTTAAGTTTAGTAACTGGTAGCCTGTGGCCAGGCCATCAAGACGCGAGTTTCTCCGCTCCCAGTAAGACTTGAGACGAATCGGGGAGAGGTTTGTCGGACCTCTCGTCGGCCCGCGTCGCTCAGAGCCTCATACTTTCCTGCAGGCTAAGAAACGCTAGTGCAGAAACGCAAGTAATGAGAGGCTCCTCGGAGGCTAAAGCTTAGCAAGGAGTCAATGATGACAAAGGGTTAATTCCAAGAAAGATTTCCCCGCCACATTTAAAAAGCACAAGAATTACAAATTGATGATTTGGACCAAATCAAATAAACATTTACTCAGTAAATCGCAATTTAACCGATAACAATCTTAATTTTAATTTGTCAACACATTCGTCTTTACGTGACTTGATAGCATTTCAAAGTCTAATCAAAGTTACATATCAGACGGGGAAAGCTCTGTTCTGTTCAGCTGTATCCTGAAAATTAAACGTTTCAGTCTCTATTTCTAAAGCAGGAGTTACTAACTGCTTTCTCAGCAAAACTACAGAAATTGATATATTGTTAAACGGCAAAGAATTAATCTGAGCAACAAACAGCGGTTTTCTGATAACGCTGCCTCGTTTTCAAGTAACAATATTTTTTTTCATCCATAATTTTTTTTTGTCAGAGATCGAATCAGAAGTCACACATCCGCGGCAAGCTGGACGGAAAAGAATTTGATGTGCCTAACCGATAAAATTATTTTTTATTACTAAATTCAATTAGGTCAAAAATTGAGTTCATTTGCAGAAAAGACTATTCCCCCAAGGAAAATATCGCTTACCACCTGCTCCTGAATTATTCATTTGAATCTTAAACCGATATAATTGGAAAGTTTTATGATATCTGTGCATATGTTCTGTTTGCAGGCGTTTAATATTTAATTTTCCAAAATCCGCCGTGAGGAAAAAAATATATACTTCATTTATTCCTGTTGTTTTCTTCCGAGAATTTCAGGTTATGAGGATAATTAGCTGACAAAATGTTTTTTTTTCCATGCAGATGACTGAGCATTTCAGCAGACTGCCGACTATTTCAATTATCTTATTAACCTTTCTTATTTATACAGTGCAGCCTCAATTGAATGGTACTTTACCATGCACAAGAATTTCGGGAATTTGTTATCGATTTTTAATGCATAACAACCTCTTTCATTCATGCAAGGCTAACTACACGCAACGATAAGGAAGAAAGAAGGAGACATTTTAAAACGAAGTAGCTTTGAAGACAAATTGAATGTGTCTGTTGTTGTTTTTCCGTGGTGATAGATCAGCAGATCAGTGATGAATAATGTGGTAGAAAGGTCGATTAAAGGTGGACAAACAGGCACGTTTCATCGCCTAAGCTTGAGAACCATGTAGTAACTGTTTCGGAAATGGCTGCTTTATCAGAAACTCATCGCAACAACTCAAGGATTAATTCCTCGAATTTGAATTCAATGGCTTTACCAACGACGCCGTCTTTCCGTTCCCCGTGCGATGACCCAAGACTTTTCGCGAGTTCTGCAGTTTCTGTGGTCGTTGCTTCATGCTACGCAATACTTATACCGGTAACCCTGTTAGGTAACGGCTCAGTGATTGCAGCCTTCGCTGCGAACGCCAGGCTACGAACTGCCACAAATATCTTGATCCTCGGCCTCGCGGCCAGCGATTTGCTAGTAGGAGCTTTCGCAGTTCCATTCTGGACGTTCATAGTTTCGCACGCAGATATAACGGCGGGTCACTGTTACTCAACGTATTTGATTTACATAAGCTTTGACATTTTCGCAGGATGTGCGTCAATCCTGCAGCTCACTGCTATCGCTTTGGAACGTTTCCTCTCGACGCAATGGCCGCTGTTTCATCGCAAGTTGCCGCAATATGTCTATTGCATCATGTTGCTGGTTTCATGGCTCTGCGCTTTAACGATGGCAGCTCTACAACCGTTGCAGGCGAAAACGGAGACATGGCGGAAGAGCTACACCGTAGCTTTATTCGTATCCTGTTGTTGCTCTCCGTTGGTAATCATTGTGACTTCCTACTGCTATATTTTCAAAATCAGTCGGTTTCAGGGCAGAAGGCGCAAGACAAGTTCTTCCAAGCGCTGTGGGCTGACTCCCGGTGGAGCGATCAAGGAACTTAACGTTGCTATCACGGTGGCGGTAATCACTGTCCTCTTTGTAACTGCTTGGTTTCCATTCTTCGTCGTTACCGTTATTGCTACGTTTTGCTTGAGGTGTTTACCGTCCCCGCCTGCTCTTCTGCATCTGGTCAAGTTCCTCAAGTTCTTACAATACAGCAGTAGTGCTATAAATCCCTATATATATGCTTACAGAAACACAGAAATGCGGAAAACACTGGCGAAAATTGCTAGAAAACTTTTCCCGTGCGATCTGGGGATCGGAACAAGAAATGTCATTGATAGAGGAGACTCTATTCAGCGCTATCGACAGTCAATAATACAAGCCGATCAAAAACCTGAATGTTATCAGACAATTTCGAGGAATAATCTCTCTTCAGCGGGAGAGGTTTTCGTGCAAGACACGAAAAGCAAACCCGCTAAAAAATCACAAAAGAAAAACAAAAAGAAAACAAAAGTGATTTATTTGTAGATACGGTTGTTTTCATTCCTACACAATGATGTTTTAACTTTGTTTTATTGAAATGAAATTGACACCAAACAGTGATTTATTTTTTGATAGATATAATATATACAATTATAGATCCCGAAGTTTCAGTCCTCATTTTTGTAGTACTACGTAAATCGGAAACGTTTTGGGACAGCTTTCCCTAAATCGTTTAGCACTTCGGTGGAGCCACAAGTTTAAACAGTGTTGTCCAAAAACTAGCGATAAATATTTTTTTTGAAATGTCCTGAAAAATGCTTCATCAAACGATGAAATTCAGTCAAATCTTAGACAGAGAGAAGATTCTTGATTTCGTTATTCAAGCATGTATAAGAATGTTTCTCCCCCTGGAGGTCCAGCTAAAAGTGAAAACCTATAATTATTAGGATCAAAAATGAATTAGCCGCGAGCAACCTTTTTTGTACCTATTTTTTAACTCAGACACTCAAAAATGCAAATTATTTGTTCAAAAGTAGTTGCTATTCCAAAAATATATCTTCTGGAGTCTTCCAACTTTACATGAAAAGTTCTTGTCTCCTTAATATACTGCATCATTATTTAAATGTAAGTCTCTCCTTAAGATTAGATTACTACCAGATATTTTAAGAACCTGGCTTTAGAGATAAATTGTTTATATTTTGCAAATAGTCACGGTGATTGTGATAAACAATGAACGAAACTGTTAATGTGCAAATGACGTCTTGTTCATGTTTTTCAAGCGTAATTAGCATAACAGAAAAAATGTTTAATCGCCATCTTACCGGATAAATCAACACTTGTCGTATTCCTTCTTGATGCGGATTAAGGCCCCGTCCACACGTGTCCGGATAAATTTGAAAACGGATAAATATCTATACGGTTACGGGTTCCGTCCACACGTAAACGGCGTTTTCACACACGGAAAACGGATAAATTTGAAAACGTTCTCCAGAGTGGATAAATTTGAAAACGCTGGCTAAGCGTCTCCATGTGGACGCCTTATCCGGATAAATTTGAAAACGATTTGAAAACGATGACGTAACAATTCAAACCTAGTCCAACGCGTGCTCTCGGCCACAGGAGCAATTATTAAAAGAAGGTTAGCTGAAAGTGCCCTGTTTTCCTTGTGGTGATTTTGCGACTCGTTTGTAACCTAAGACCGAGTTCGACATCGATGCGCGTGCGTGGCGGCCATGCTGTCACGGATTTCTGGCCATGCGAACACTGTTGATAAGTTTGAAAAGCCCAAGAGCATAGCCAAGAGGATTCAGGCTCAGGATACGCGAGACTGTGGGCACATGTTTTGTTCTAAAGAGCATGCTCAGTAGGCGACGTCATCGTTTTCAAATCGTTTTTGCGTTTACGTATGGACACCAAAAACGATTCACAAACGGCAACGTGTGGACGCGGATAAATTTGAAAACGGATAAATATTTATCCGTTTTCAAATTTATCCGGATACGTGTGGACGGGGCCTAAGTTTCTCGAATTTTTTCGTTTTTTTTTCCTCGACCAACTATTTTAGATATTAGACTACTAGTAGTTTGCTTTAGCTGTTCTTATATTCAAATGAAATTGAATCAACAAAAAAATATTAAAATCGGCGCTATTGTGTGCAAGAGACACTGGCTTGATTCCTTAACCGATTTCTTTTAACTGTCGCGACGAATTGAACTTAGAAAGAGTGGACGAGCAAAATGCGCTGATTCAAAAAATGTATCTATTGACTACGAGCAAGAAACACAAGGAAAATATAGCTAAGAGGCCATCCTTACTGGCGCAGAGGAAGGAGGACAAGGTACAAACCTGGAGTCCATGAGGTTAGTCCAACTCTCTTCTTTTTTTTGTTTATTTGTTTTATTTTGTTTGTTTGTTTGTTTTTTTTTATTTGATTTTTTTTTTGTTTCTTTTTTCGGGTTTCCTATGTTACGTCTTTTGCTTTTCGTTAGAGTGCTATACCTTATTTACAAGACAATAGATAAACTACACCCTGTTCAGCGGTATTACATCATAATATTCCCTGATGGTATTTATAACTAACAAAGTGAAACGACATCAACGGTGAAGTTGTCTTCGAGTTTTTCTGACCAAAATCGAGCGAAGCTTTCAAATTCTTCATTTGGCTCCTTCTCAAAGCAGTTAGGCCTTAAGTGAAACTTAACATTTTCATTATGTTCAAACGCTAAGGCAAAATACGTTATCATCATTCTGTTTGAACAACGATACCAGTATTGCTCTTTTCCTGTTTTCTTTTTCATTCATTGAATTATAAGCTATTTCCTGTTTCTTGTAGGTCAGTTTACAGTGGTGTCGTATTTGTGGGAGTGGTTTGGTAAACATGAGGAAGGCACTCGAAATCTCGCGAGATCAGCGCACGTTGTTTGGGCTCTCGACCAAAGTATTTTTATAGGGAATGCAGTTTCAACTTTAAGCTTCTTTAAAAAAGTCTTTGTCCGCAAAGTAAATTTATCCTGAAGAGTTTGCTCAAGTTACTATTGGAGACGCAAACCGCTCCGCAAAATGAGGCTATGATTTCGGTCACAAAAGTCGGCATTTTTAAAATTTTCGGAAATAAGAAGAGAATTATGAGGAGTTTTTCGGTGTGCGATTTCTATCAGTTTTCTGTTTAATCACCAATTATTTCCACAAAAAATCTGCTCCAGATCAATGACGAACAATTTCCTTTAAAAAGGCTGATTGTATACAGTCACCTTGTTTTTGTTTAGATAAAATTCATCGGCGCCACAAAGTCGCAAACTGTTTCTATTGCAGACCTCAGCTATTACAGGATTGCAGTCACTGCGTGTGATCGCACGAGAGGTAAGGGGGGAGGGAGGGGGGAGGGGAGGAGGCACATGGACACCCTATTATTCAGCCTGGGGGAAGTCCTAAATTGCAATATTTAGCACCTTCGATAAGGTTTCTTTCCAGACCCGATGTTTTGCACGGGGTGTATATGTCGGCGGTAATACTAACATTTATTCCTTTCTATGGTTTCATGTACACCATAATCCGTCAAAGCAGAGGATCAACATGAAAAGAAAAGTTCTCACGTAAAGAAGTTATGGTTGTTGCTTCAAGACATTGACAGCAAACCGTAACACAAACTTTCACCTCTCCCTCCCCTCCCCCCACACCCCCTTCTCCCAAAGGGCCTATTTTCAAACTCGAACTTTTGTTGTTAATTTTCTTTATGAATGAAACTTTAGACGTATAAATATCAAAGTTATGATCTTGTGACGATATCGATCTATTTAACTTTACGCAAATGCATCGGGACAAAATCCAAATTAGTGCGGAATCACTCAACATTACTAAACACAAATGTTTGAGCAAGCATAACACTCAAACTTTGGTCATAAAATTGGTTGAAACTTGAAGAAAAAATATATTTATAATAGCACTTAACATCCCAACATAAAAATTCTAGGGCAGCTAAAGCACTGAATTTTTCCGTAAAATACTTTGACTTGTAAATTTATTTCACAGTTTATTAATGTGTTTACACATATAAAAACTCGAGTGTCTTCTACTGTGCAACTCATGCACTCTTCTTGATTATAGGAACAATTTTGCGCGCAAAAATTATCAAATTCAAGGGAGTGATATGTTCTCGTAGCTCACACTGGCCACCGAGTAAGTTGAAAATTGATAGTACTGTCAATTTTCAACTTACTGCATGCTCTGACAATGCCACGAGACTGTCGCTAGAGACTGACGCTAAGCTTGGAAAGTCAAAAAAATGACTTCTCCCAATGTGCGTCAATTGTAAACTAAAAAAATGATCATAAATTTTACGAGTTTAAAAGTTCATAATTCACACATGAGGAAATGAGGTTATCAGTCGAAGACCAAAGTCACCCGACGAGTTCCGCTAAACTTTGTTTCCATTTTCATACAACACATGGGTCACGATTATATTTCACATATGGTAAGATATGCAGAAAATTTAATTCTCCAGTATGCCATTATACGCATGAACATGACGGCTATCAAAAGCTGCACATTTTCCTTAGTGTTACCGGAGACAACTAAATGGGCTAAACAATCATTATGGGAGAATCACGTCAATTGACGTGATCCTAAAAGAGTCTTCCATTGGCATCTTCTTAACATATTAACTTGCTTCACTCACCTTTAGAAACGCAGCTTAGTGTTAAATTCAAATCTCAACCAAGACATTCGTCGATAGCTCTCGAGAGCTAGAACGAGACTCGCTCGGACAGGACTCAGCTCAGGTGTTGGTGATCTTCACGTCGGCGTCGTAGTGTATTGACTGACTGAGTAAAACCTAAATATGAAGCCAAAACAATTAGAGATTTTGAAATGAGATTAATCTGACTATCGCGTTATGTTACGTTCCTTTCGGAAAAAATATAAATAACAATGATAAAGATAGAGAGAGAGAAACAGATCAGAAAGATGATTACTGGGGAAATGCAAACACAGAAACGAGGTAAAGAGAATCCTAAAATATTTTCTGCTTAGTCTTACACTAGTACCTCCCATTTGCTGAGGAGTGTATAACTTCAGAACGGCGACAAAAGGAACTTCCATTTTCCTGAAATATTTCTCGAGTTGTTCGACATGATTGAGTTCGAAGATAATACCAAATGAGCTACAAAGGCTCGTGTCATAAGTGAGGCAAGTTTGTTCCTGTCATTTTGAATTTTTTTAATTGGAGTTCATCTGTGAGGATCGGAAACGCTATTCATCGTCATGTAGAGGCAGAATTAT